AAAAAAAATCTTCGGAAAAAAAATCCCCAAATAAAATATGTAAAATTTTCGAGAAAATCAACAAAATTAAAATAAATTCCTATGAAATATTTTTCCAAATAAAATTTCCCAAATAAAATTGTTAAACAAAATTATGAATAATAACCAGAGTTGTTAAAAGATACTTTTTAATTGGATCTAGATACAGATACAGATACCACATTTTTATATCTAGATATAGGGTCTAAATACTTGTATCTAGATCCTTTAACAACTCTGATAATAACTAATGATTTATATTAAACCGAACCAAATTTTTAAATTATTATTCATTAATCCTAACCAATATATAAGTATAATGTTATGGCCTTATTCCGAATCCAGGTTTGGTGAAAATTAAACAAAACAATATTTGAAAATAAACGAATTGGATATCTAGTATCTGTGATATTAAGCAAAGTATTATTATAAGCTAAGTAATGATAATGGCCAGCCCATACTTTTTTATTTTGGCCCGGATTTATAAATTAATACCAATTTTTGACCCCTGCACTACTTTAATTAAATCAAAATGTTTTTTAAATTCAAATTCCCTAGAAGATTTGAGGTTTTAAATAATAAAAGGAAAGTTAAATAAATCTAGTTCACCTATTTTCATCAACTTTTAGATATTATTATTGAAAATCAAATTTTTATTTTAAAAATATATTTATTTTTACACAAATTATTAATCATTTCCATGAAATTTTTAGAAATATATCAAATCATTGCCTTCAAAAATAGTTGGCCATTTTATCAATTTTGTTTCTTTTGCTGATAATTTTTAGAATATAAAATATTTGTGTTCTATGCAGGGTTGCCAGGTCAAAATTTTCAAATTGTGGGAGAAATTCGGTATTTTGTGGGAGTAATATAAAAATTGTGGGAGAAATATGAAATGTGCTAAAAAAAAAATTTAGGATTTAGAATTGACTTAGTTATCCGCTTATTATTTTTTATAAATATAAAATCGAATCTATTTTCCAAAATAAAATAGGTAATTATTTTTCAAAATAAAATAGCCAACTATTTTTCAAAATAAAATAGCCAACTATTTATAATAAAATAGCCAACTATTTTTCAAAATAAAATAAGTAACTATTTTCCAAAATAAAATACGCAACTATTTTTCAAAATAGGTAATTATAGTACGACACAAAATTTCTTAAATACTATCTTTATTATTAAAATAACATATTGATTTATTATAATATATTAATTTTGTTTAAAAATAATAACCAACGATCTTTTTTAAATACAAAAGAATGTAAACAAGATAAAATTTTATAAAAAAATTGTAATTTTACAATGTAAAAAAATATATTTTATGCTAATAGGCATCAAAAATCTTCAAAGCATAAATCAGTACAGGGCAGTCTATCAACATCTATTGCAAATCAAAAATATTCTTCAAAAATAAGAAATAATACAGATGCAACTACAGTTGCGGAAATGGTAAATACCTATCATGCAGTACAACATTCAGAGAGCTCAGCGTCTACATGACAGTATATTCACTGGATGCAAACCCCCCTCAAAAATATATATCTACCCCACTAATATACCAAAATGTTATCCATAGATAATTTAAAAATGTAATGGAAAATTTTCTAGATTATTATAGCCTACCCCCTACCACCTACCCCTTTATAGATATTAGGATGCAAACTGTTCCTACCCCCCCCCCCCGCTCATGTAGACGCTGATAGAGCTACTTAACATCACAATTTTGGTAGAATCTTTCCCCATAATATTTAACGACTAATATAAATGAAAAGTATACTTTGTAAAACACAAATGAGCAAGGCTATCATCAATGTTTTAGGATATAAATCCAGAAGGTCAATTCTTGACGATTTGAAAGATGTGCAAACATATGCAATTCTAAAAGATGCATCTAATAAAGAGATATCAAAACATTTCCCTTGATCCTCCCCTATTTCAACAAAATAAATGTCATTTCAATAAAACTATTAAAAGATTTTCTCCAGATATGAAATATCCAAAGACATAGCTAACCATATATAATGGTAAATATGGCAGATTTGGCATTACCAATGAATTGCATGGCAGCTTTCTGATCTGATAATTCCTTAGTGAATTTGGCAAAAACCAGAGTGTATTTACAGAATTGAGTCAGCATAATGTTGGTTGACAGGTTCCTCCTAATACGCGCCATCGTAGAATTTAAAAATTTTACAAACCTTTAAAAAATAAATAGATTATAAAAGCTGTCCTAATATTTTGAAAAAAATTTTCAAAAATAAATGGCAGAAGTATATTTAGGAATTTTACATATAGGAAATCTACTATATGCTATTAATATGCAGTTGCAATCAGAAGAATATAATTTAATAAAGGTTCACTAAATTATGCTGCAGAAATACCAAAGTAAGAATATTATTACTATTATCGGATTATTAATAAGATTTAATATGATGTCATGTTTGAGGAGATTGTAATGCTTCTTTATTTTTATGATTTGCCAAAATATTCAAAATATTAATTTTACAATGTAAAAAATAAATTTATTTGATTTTATGCAAATGTATAAATAAGATTTTATAAAATATAGAAAGTCAAATAGTTATAGTAATTATATTTTATTTGAGATTTAAATAATGGAACTAAACGTTTACCGTCGTTATTAAGATATTTATAAAATTCCTAGCATGACATTTTATAATTTTGTTTAACCATTAACTCGGCCTCTAATGTTGTTAAAGCAATTCGATTTCTCTCCTTTCTCCAGGCAGTCCTCATCAGGCTAAAAATGCGCTCCGATGAGGTATTAGAATGAGGTAAGGAGAAAACATACTAGCAAATTTTTTCCAAGCATGGGGATTTATCGTTATTACGAAAAAATTTACTCATTTCTCCTCTGCTTTTAGACCATTTAACTTTAAGTATTCTGGCGAATCATAAAAAATGGGAAAAATTACAATCTCTTCAAACAAGGCTTCAATGTCTATCGGTAATTTTAATATATTTATTAAATTACAAAAACCATCAAATGATGGTTTCTGTTCCAAGGTCATAATATTTATACACTTATGAATAGAGTTATTAAAATCAAATCTTGATTGTAAATATTCCAAAATTGTCTTAATAAAAATATTTGCTTCATTTAAAAATACGTTAATTATAGTAATATTTGAACATTTTAATATATTTTTAGCAATAGCGCCATAAAATTATTATCTATTTTTAACTGTAGAGATGAACAGAGCTGTAGCATGATTTTGTGAATCTTTATCAATAAAGAATCTTCTGATTGCAACTGAATATTAACTACATGAAGTAGATTTCCTACATGTGAAACTAGTGGAGCACTGCAATTCTATATACGATATAAAATATATTATGTAATTTAAAATATATTTATAATAATTATACATACTGTTCTAACTTCTATTCTTTCTAACACGAAAATTTTGAAAATGTCGAGTGGAGAATTGGAGAATTTTATAAAAAATATATTTTAGAGCGGAAAAATAAAATAAAAGAACTAGACATATTTTTCGAATAAATATTTAAAATTTATTTTAAAAATATAAAAATAATCAAATACTGTCTCTCAAAATTATTATTTGTATATTAAAAACATAAAATGCTAAAAAAAAATTGTGGGAGAAATTAAAAAATTGTGGGAGACTCCCACTGATGGGGGGAGACATAGCAACCCTGCAAGATATAAAACAAAAAACTTAGGCATTTGGACTACCTGGAAAATGGTTGAAGATTCTAAATTTTCTTTATATTCTATAAATTTCCTCTCAATACATATGAAAGCTTAAATATGGCATTATCTATCAATGGCCGATTTGATGATACCTGATGACATATGCAAGGAAACTGAAATACCGCAGCATAAAATTAGTCGTAAAAAGAGATGTGTTTTGAGGAATGCTCGGATCAACGTCCAAATGACTTTTCATATTTACAGAATTCAAGCGCACGATATCATTGATCAGATGGTAACTAGTTTTACAGAAAGATTTTCGAAAAATCAACATTTATTAACTGATCTCTGAAATTTAAATTTTTTTAATTATTTAGCTAATTAAAGAAAATTATGAATTAATATAAATAAAATAAACTATTCTTAAAAAATTTTAATGTCAACTTATTTTTAAACAGTTATCTCATTAGATATATTTCTATAAATGATCGTTTTCCTATCATCTTAATTTTAATCAACTTTCCTACCCTCTTTCTTAATGTTATGAAATTGAGAGAGACTATAACCTAATGTTAAATTTTTGATCTATCACACAGGCCGATCTGGCCTGACCAAATCGAGTTCGGAATCGGTTTTAAAATTTTAATTTGGAAAAGTTATTTTTTTTTTGCCAACGACCAGATTTGAACCCTTGCCCTCTAAAATTTATTATTATTGCCTCTTTCGAGGAATATATATTATTTTTTAATGATTATCATTTTAACACTAATAAGAGATTGATTATTTTCATGATTGGTTTATTTTTTTAAACCTAATTTAAATTGATATTTTGGCAAATTATTTTAATTATTCTTTTTAATCTATTAAATTTTAATTGCCTATTCATTGTTTTAACAATGTCGCCTTACAAAATGTGAAATTGATAAACAAAACAACTAATCAATTTCTTTTTTTTTGTAAAAACAGAAGCTATATATTATATAACCACCACGTGTATTGACACCTGGCAATTGGGGAGTATTTGATCCCCTATTGGTTTTCCGAATGAACACATAAGAATCACCCCGGGTTTTCGATGTTTTCATTGCCTTAAAAATATAGGCACATACATTGAGGGTAAAATCATATATAAGGACAGGATCATTTATGTTTAGTTCTCTACTTTTACTGCTCTGTTCTCCTCTTTTTATATTCAACAATCAACAATTCACGCTATTCATAAATTTATTTTATTTAAAATAAATAAATATATTGTTCTAACTGAAATATATATTTTTAAAAAATCATAAGCAATGTTTTTTTGAGAAATTAGAAGAGGACAAAAATATTATGAATTTAAAAAAATACTATTATCATAATATCATTATTAATCAAGTAACAAATTTTAAAAGCATGGCGGCCCCCATATAAAGTGGAATGGCTCCAAACGAGAGCTTTATAGAGTATCCCGCACCTTTTGCAGTCGTGCGCGATTTTGGTGATGAGCCTTCAGGAACAGGCCCTGGCGGAGCAACGGTGGCAGGGATAGTGGCATTCTATTTTAATTTAAAAAAAATTATATATATTTATAATTGTTATTTCTAATTGCAAATTTTAATGCCTATAAAACTACAAAAGTGTTTTATAATGTCCAATACAAATTGTAAAGATGGGAATATTGACACAATTGATATTACCACCTATTATCTCGTATAATTCTTTTGTCAATTAGTAGATTTTGGGATATTTATTTATTTACCAGATTGGATGACTCTTATATAATTAACTGAATTTCCATGCAATTATGAAATAGAAATAATAGTGGCTTGCAATCTAAAATCTCTATACTGGTAGAATCTACCATACTATCAAATAAAGTAGCCTTCAGTATTTGTTTAAATCTTTAAGAACCTCCACCCCTCCACCTCCCTTGAATCGATTTTTAAGATATAATTTGAATTGGAGTTTAAAGATTGACATGGCTGCCTCAGATGGCAGTTCCACCACATTTGTGTATTTTATTATTTTATTTTACTTTTTAAATCATCATCTTGAATTAACAGTGTATAATATTTGTTATAAAAATCGTTACGGGGGCTAATTCCTTTAAATTAGGGTGGATATAAATCACGATTTAAAAAATAAATATCGTTAATGAAAAATTTGAAATATGTATAAATGAAAACTGATTTTTCTTTCTCGATATTTTTAATCATAGCGCAAAAGTTGTAGAGGTGGGCATGAGAGCTGGTAACATATTCCGTTTATTTTTAAAATTCTTCGGCAGCAAATATATTTCATTACTATTTCTAGGTTACATTTTAAAATTGTTCACAAAATACAATGCGAGTTTAGCTTAAAACTACAGAGGATATTATGCTTAATTTTTTAAAATACATTTGAAATATGAGATAGAAGCAAATAAATAGTTAATATCATGGATTCAGATGAGCTTTGACCTTCCCATATAAATATTATTGGCGGGTCTTATGCCAACTTATTACCTGTCTTTGGCCAGGTTACACATATCATTTACATAATATTGGTTTTTCACTAAGTTAATACGCTTACGCTTTTAAAAAAATAAACTAAATTAATTAAAAAAGTTATTTACTTGTATACATATCTATTAAAGATCTGCAAAGCTGTCCGATCCCGCTTTGGCCTGTTAAGAATTTATACACAAGTTTCCCTGTTCGGCCCATTAAAGTCCAGCCCGTTAAATTTTTTTTGTTTAAATTTTTCAGCCATCCCATTTTTAATATCTATATCTAACTTTCCCCCAATTTATCTTTTATCTCTCCTCTATCGCTCTCTATTTCTAAAAATTGTTTTATAATTGTGTTTAATATCTGTATTGTTTATTCGTAATTTGATTATATCATAATTTACTTATTTAATTTTTGTGTATTTACTATGTTATTTTTAGATTTTGCATTTTAGTTAGACAGCTCTTAAAATACAAGTAATTGCACATATTGTATTTTATTATTAATTAAAATTAATCAAAATATAGAATGGAAATTCAAAAAATATATCAAAATTTTAATTCCAGGGTTGTAGTGTTATTAACCGGCTCGATTTGAGCCGGTTTTTAAAAATAACTAATTCAATATTTAGCCAGAAAAATATTGCTCTATGCTTCGAGATTTTGCTCATAGATGTTTGAATCTTTATGTAATCTATGAGCAAAATCTTCAGGCTTGGTAATATTTTATAGACAAAATATGAAGTTCTCCTTTTTTAAAAATTGGCTCAAATCAAGCCTTTTAACAAGACTTCCCGGCTGGCTGATTCAATCTTTGCAAAAAAGATTTGCAAGACCCTCTAATTTTTTATGTAGAAATAAATCAATAATTTTAATATTTATAAAAAAACTCAAATTTAAATTAAGATTTAAATCAAATAGTTATCTTTTTCAAGCAAGTAAAATCAACAAACTCTGGATAAAATAGATTTTAGATTAAGTTTTTAGTGATTGAGAAGATGCTCGATATACGACATGTACTATAAAAAGTGGTATCAAAATCAAAAGTTTAAAAGTTTGGGACAATAATTAGTTTTTAGGGCTAAAAACGGGGGCGTAAACACAGGGCGTGGAACCCCCTCTCCCATTAGAAAATAATTAGGTAGAATTTGTTTTCATAATACTTTAATATTGATCTTTAGACAAAAATTTGTTTTCATTAACCCGATCTTAAATTTTTTAATTCTATTAAATCATCTCAGAAATTTTCTCTTCTATTTAAAAAGGTGCATGAACAAAAAAATCTACAAACTATATATAATAAAATCATATAAAAATTTTTTATTATAAATTATATTGAAAAAAAAATTGAAAAACTAGATATTTCCCAAAGACGCTATAATTCGGGATAGATGTTTGGCCTTTTGTAAAATCCCTCAACAGTATTGCTTGAGAGTAAAAAAAATCATCTATTGTTTATCTAAATGGCCAATCCAGATTTAGAATCACATTTTTAAAGATGCCACAAATCTATTTGACGACATTTTCTATGCTATCGCTACTAAATTATATAAGTATCAAAGATATAGCCAGTGACATTGAGTTGCATATTGAAATATGATAAAAAGTTTAACATTTTGTAATGATGATAGTAATTATATTTCGTTTTGATTTTTTTATATTAGAATTTTTTTAATGCTTCTAGATTCTCTGTTCTAATTTGAATCTTGATATGAATTTTAGTGATTTTCATATTTTGCTAACGTTTTTATAAATTGTTTACTAAACGGATTTAAGCATTAAACTCTATATTAGATAAGCATTACATATTGGGTTAGCATTAGAATTAATGCTTAAAGTTTTGGCAAACTGCGTCTTAACATGAGACAGATTTTGCTCGATTTGTGCCTATTTTTGAAACGACTAATATTCAGAAAAATATTGGCTAAGCCTTGAGATTTCGCTAATAGATGTCCAAACCTTTGTATCATCTATGCGCAAAATCTTCAGGTTTGCATAATATTTTTCTAGATAAAATATTGGTTTGCAGTTTAAAAAAATGCTTCAAATTAAGCCTTTTAACAACACTAATCAGATTCATATTTAATTTTTGAAAATATAACTCGATTCAAATTATTTTACTACTATGGAAAAAATTTTATCGTTAGAGATCATAGAATAATCACAAGATTTAAACATATTTTGAATAAAAAAATACCTCAATGTATTTAGACGCAATTAATTTTTGAATTGTAATTTAATTTAAATCCGATTAGTTTTAGTTTGCTACGGTTTCTGTTTATTGACTGGAAAAACTGATTGATGAAATAGTAAGTGCTAATCAGGCATTACATATTGGAGCATACAGTTATTAAGTGTTTCTATAATTTATGTTCTAAAATTTGGCCAATCTAGGGAATTTTATCTTATTTGCCAATAATGCGTTTTTCTTTAAGCTATCTACCAAACAAGTTGAAGCAAAAATTGTACTAAATACGCTTTCACAATTTTATTATTTTTTTTAGATCCTCTCTTCGAAGACCTTTGACTGGATTGTATTTTTTTTATTATTTTGGCTTACAATTTAAAAATAAATTCTCAAATTCAATTATAGACATTCTTTTTAGTAAACGATATCAGGGATGTCATATCAATGCCAACTGGTTTCCTAAAAAATAAGCATTGCTGCTAATTTTGGCTCCAAATCACGAACCAAAGAGCCAATTTCGGTTTTAGATTTGAGTCATGGTTTTAAATCATGAGCCAATCAATTTCAATCAAATATGGCTTGGCAGATTGTATTTTCCATAAATAGTAATAAAAATAGTATAAAAAAGCATCTTCAGTATAATCTACCAATATTTTGAAATTTTTCATTCAATCACAATCATCACACTTGCTCTTTTTTTGAATTGTGTTTTTTTAAAAAAAATTTACTTTGCTAAACTTAAAAGAGATATATCTATTTTATAACCTTACAAATTCATTTTTATATTTATTTATTTATAAGCTACCCGATTTTTTAATCAGAGCTCAGCCTGTCCATAATTTTCATTTTAGGCTTGAGCCTGGTTCAAAATATTTATTTTAAAAATATAAATTAAACTAAAATCACCATCGCTTTGCCACAATTCCAGAGAAATATTAATTATCATTTCAAATCAATAAAAGAAGCAAAAACATATTTATTTTATTTTTTAGAATTGTTTTAAACCTTAATCAGACCAGAATGGTCTAAAAAAATTAAGCCTCACCTGACCCTATTTTTATTTTTTTTAAAGCCCCAAGCCTGGTTTCGGGTTGACTTTATTTTTTTAAATTTTCTAGCTTTTTGAGTGCTTTTTTAAAAATTTTCATAGCTTTTTGAGTGTTAGTCACCTATTAATAGTCATGTATATCTCTCCATCTTTTGATTAAATTAACATTTGTCTTTAATTTTTAAGATATTTAAATCGTTAGCGATCATTTATATGAAATACAATAAAGAATCTAATTTTGAAAATAATTTTATCTCATTTTTTGTCCCACATTAGCTAATATTTGAATCTGGTCACTTTAACTATAATATATTCTTTTAACCTATTTGAGTAATAGCGTGCCTCCGCATATGAAAAATACTCTCTATTCTATTCTATTCTATTCTATTCTATTCTATTCTATTCTATTCTATTCTATTCTATTCTACCCTTTTCATCTACCCTATTATATACTGTCTTATCCTATCCTAAAATATTATATTAAATATAAATATAGAATAAAGTATTTTACCTGAGGATCAGCTACTTGCCTTTTCTTCAAGCATCCATGTTCATCTCCATTCTTGCACTAAAAGAAAAAAATAGTTACTTATAAATTCCGGACATAAATTTGGACAAATAAATTCCGGACAAAAGTGTCGATAAAAAGACACTGGAAAAATACACCCGAACTAAGAGAAACCATACAGATTCGTGGAAAAACACACTGAACAAAAATATCTAAATTTTAATTTAAAAAATACTTATCAGAAAGGGGATTCTTTGGAAAAAATTGTAAATATATTTCACACATAGGTTTCAAAAAGATCAATATTTGAAATCGTAAATTTACTATAATCTGATATAAATCTTAGCTTTCTATATGTTTATATTATAATGCAGTAAAGTAAACTACTTAACGTCTATTAAATCAATATATATTTAGCCCTACCCCAATCTATGCTGAATTTACTAAATAAAGTCTAAGTTCTATTAAACCCATTTTTAACATGCCCCGTATCGGTGTTATATTATTTGTGGTAGATGCATTAACACCGGATAGCTGAGATGCAATAACCTAGAATTTTATTTTAAAAATCTAACGACTATATTTTATTAAACCTTTTAACCTTACTCCCATGGTCTTTGCTGATTTGTTGCCATTCTCTCTAACACTCTGCTAATGTGATGCTTTATAAAAAAAGAATTCTTTAAAAATAGGATCATATTGGGAATAAAACATAATACCACGAAATAAATTAAAAATTTAATGACCAAAATTTACTAAACCCATTTTTAAATATATAACTGCTCGTGCTGATTAGCTTCAGAAAAAAATAGTTCCCAGCGGAAATGAACCACCGATCTTACACTTCACTTTATATCTTTCAGCCCATTGACCTATCTGATATTATTTAAAAAAACAATTAAAACGAGTTTTCTTTTGTAGACTCCAAATAAAATAATATTACTCCATTTATTCACGGTTTTTTAAGAAATTTTTTTAAATAAAATATTCAGAGGCTACGGATTTATTAGCCAAATATTTATTTAACGAAGATTGTCACCTATCTTCTTTTTCTAATTATTTGAAAAAATTCTCAAATTTTATGTAATTTTTATCCAGTATCTTTTTTTGAAGGTATGTCCAGTGTCTTTTTATCGTCTTTATGTCAAGAACACTTTTGACCAATTTTCACTTAGAGTTCGTAAAACCAGGCCCTTTTCGGCCATTAAAAATTTTAGCACAATATGCCCAGCCTGCCCCCTTAAATTTAACCCAACCCGGACAGTTATAATTTAAATAAATCCGGTCCGTTAAAATTTATGAAAAGTCAAGCCAGCCCATTAGAATTTTAAGAAAAGTCAGCCCAGGTCCCTTCCTTTGTTAGAATTTACCGGCCTTTTAACATTATATCTATTTTTTTCTCTCCCACTTCTCTATTTCTATAACAACTTTTTATATCAATTGTATTTGATATCTGCTTTGTGTATTTGTATATGGATCATATCAAAAATAATTTTTTTTGTTTTATTATATTTAAAGATTTAATATTCAAGTTAGAGGGTTTTATTCAAAGAAATACGCATATTGTAACTTATTTTTATATAGCATTAAATAAAAATATTAGCTTGAGATTCAAAAAATTATATTAAAATTTGGATTCCTCGCCACTGCCCTATTAAAATTTTATGAAAATCAGAGATTTGCGAGGACCTGGCTAAATTTTACAAGAATTGTTCAGCCCATTGCTAAAAATTGTTTATGTATAAAATACCCCCACCCCCCCCACCTGTCCAGCGTGTTAAACATTTTGCCAGGCCCAATGATTCTTTAAAAAATTAGTCCAGCCCAGCCCGTGGACCGAGCTTTCGGAAGGGCTGGTTGCAGGTCTGATATCTTTGAAATATTTGTTTATTTCTTTGATTCATGCTCACTCTTTCCAATTCAAATATAATTTCGATTTAATTATAAATTAATGTTAAAAAAAAATTTGTGACTACTATATTTTGATCAGGGATGTGAACCCGAACCCTTTTTAAAAGTAAAGGGTCCAAGAGTTTTAAGTAAAAAATTTTTTTAAAAAAAAATTAAAAATATTTAAAAAAAAAAATTGTTAATTTTATTAACTTTTTTGCTTGGAATTATTTATTTTATCTTCGCGTTTTTCTTTCAATTTACTTCCTGGACTTCCATTTTATTTAGAGATTTATATCATAAATTATTTTCTGGTGTAGGTAATAATATTTTATTATGTAAATTTATTAATAGATTTCCCCACAAATATATATTATATTAGATGTGCAGCCCATACTCTATAATTGTCTATTAATGATTGCCCAAAATTGATAAAGCAAAGGATGTTGCTAAATATTTAAAAACTTCCACAATTGTAAGAATATTAAAATCAATGAAAAGGTCAATGGCATTATTAGATTGCACAACACGGTCCTCAATTTGTATAAAGCTAGAACGATTAAGTTTGAAATATTTCTGTAAAAATTTTATCGCCGGGGTGGCCCAGTAATGTATGATGTATGCTTGGAAACCGAAGGTCCCAGGTTCAATCCTGGTAAGGAAGTAAAAATTTTCAGGTTTTTCTTTGATGACGGATGGGTATAGACATATTTGTTAAATTTCTGAGCTGAGGAATGCCACCCCGGTCATCGACAGGCTTGGACAGTCGGGTGCTAGGATACTTTGTCCAATAAACCAAATAAGACGACCAGCTGAACTCATGGGTCAGATGATAACGATTTCTTGGCCAGCGTTAGGATGATGGTGACCTCGGGGGCCGTTCAAGCTCAATGTCTACCAAGTTACAATAGACTTAATAACGATACTCCGGTGGGAGATCAAGATTGGGATATCTGTCGATTTGATACTTCTTCTATGTGAGGAATACTCCAGTGGGATATCTGTCGATATTGATTTGATACACCGGTGGGAGATCAAGATACTTTGGCCTTGATAGCGATACTCCGGTGGGAGATACAAATGGAATCGATCAGAAATAAAAATATAAATTAGATAAAAATAGATAGCAAGAGTAATAAAGTGGAGATAGATAGTGAAGGAGCTTACCACCAGAAAAGGTGAAAGCTAAAAAGAAAATTTTTTTGTAAAGATTTTATTATAGGAGCATGTGAAGTCATATTATCGGAAGATGATTGGTGCCAAAAAAAGGACCTTACTGTAATAGTTCCTTTAAAAATAACAACATTAAGATTACAATCAGAACAATTATGTTTAGCTAATTTTTATGGCATATGGATTAGATGCCAATTAGATTTAGAAAGATTTAATAGTCCTTTTTTATATGAAATATTAGATAGCATGTGAAAGCAAATATATTTGGAAAATAGTGTTGTATAGCTTCTATATATTTAAACCCTCGATATCAAGTTCTATTGAGTATTGAGCAAAAACAAATGGCTAAAGAACATCTTAAGGAGTTATGGCATACGCAAAGCTCCATTATTTACAATATATTGTAGAAGTTAAGATAATAAATAAGGATATAAATATTTTAATATTCTGGGAAGAAAATTCTTCAATATACCCAGAATTATATATCTTGTCTATAATCGTCATGGCTGTTCCGGCGACAAAAGTAAAATAATTTATATATTATAAAGGTAGAAAGTATATTTTCATCTTTGAAATATATATTGTCTAATTTACGTGGAAGTCTCAAGGATATTAATTTATAAGATATTATGATTGTGCGATTGAATAAAACTTTTAAAATATAAATTATTTCATTTTTAAATCTTTTATTTCTAAATTATGAATGTGTATATATTGAAGTATAATAATAAATGAATGAAAAGTCTTATTTTGAGTCATTTTATATATTCCCTGAACCCGGACCCTTTTTAAATTTTATTACTGTACCCGAACCCGAACTATTTTCTTTCTGATTCTGATTATTTTATTTAAATAAACGAATGAATGAAAATAATAAATAATCAAAGAATGCTAAAGAATACTACCAGAGCATCATCGATTACTTCCCTTTTCTTCAAACATCCTTGTTCATTTCCATTCTTACACTAAAAAGATAAATATATTTGTCAGTTTTGAATGGGTAAAATGTAAACAAACTTTTATAAAAGTAAACAACAAATTTATGCATTTTTTAAAAAAAATTACAAAAAATGAATACAAATAAGGAATTGAAAAACGTGAAAATGTAAATAGGAATCAAGAGAATGGTAAGAATTAATGAGAGTAGAAAGAATAATTGAAAGAATGGAAAGAGAATGAAGAAATATAAACAATTGGAATAGAAAACTATCTTATAAATGTTTTTTTTGCCTTCATAAATAAATTAAATATTATTGGATGTAAAAAAAATAAATAAAAATTTAGAAATATAGATCTAAAATAGAAGGTAATTAATTAACTTACTCGCCAAAGTACAAAAATAAAATAATAAGAAGTTGCCAATCTTATTGTAAGACCGAGAAAATATTTGAGATTGGAAAATTGTAAACCTATATAATAAAGGAAAATCGGTAATGAAATTAAATAGAATGAAAGAAAATGAATAAAGTACTTCGGGCCTGGAATATGAAATGTTGACTAGGATGGTTCCAATCAATATTAAAATCATCATTTTCCCAACATTATTTCTTGCCATTATTATATATGTTATCTAATTTCTAAATCAAATTTATTTAAAAAAAAGGAATTCTATATAAAAATCGCATTTAGAACGAAGATGTTCTAATTTTATAAATAAATAGATCCAACCTAATTTGAGCATTTAAGAAACACAACTTGCTCTAAACTGACCAGAAATTAGAGCCACTTTAGAATTTATCCAAATTTACTTTTAGCATTAAGAGACTTCTTTAATTTGATTCTATTTGTTTCAAATATAATTATTCTTTAAAAACTTAAAATGAGACGTTTACATTAAATTGATCGAAAGATAGTAGCTCAAAAGAAATTAAATATAATTGTACAGGGTTTCCCATTCATAAAAAGGAAAAGGTCCAAAGAAAAAGTGTCAATCAAAAAAGGAAAAGTCCCAAATATATAGGAAAAAGTCCGATCAAAAAAGGAAGTGTCAAACAAAAAAGAAAAAGGTTCAATCAAAAAAGGAAAATTGCCAAAAGGAAAGGTGTCAATCAAAAAAGGAAAATCGTAATTTCTTAAAATTTTTATTTATTTTAGTTATTCCTTCTTAATTTATTTCTAACTTTTTACAATTTTCTTTACTTTATTTTTCTTACTATATCTTCTCTCAATTTATTTTTCTTCTCATTTTTGATAACTGGTCCATTTTTTTAACAATTCTTTACGTTTTTATTTCATCATATATATAATATTCTTTTTATGATTTTTTCATTGTAACCTTTTACATACATTTCTAACCTTTTCAATCTCTTAAGTCATTTTTAATCTTTATTTTTTTGAGCATTTCTCAATTATTTTTCTTCTCATTTTTGATACAGGATTTCCCATTCAAAAAAGGAAAAGGTCCGATCAAAAAAGGAAAATTCCCAAAAAGAAAGGAAAAAGTCCTATCAAAAAGGAAAAGTAGTGTTGTTAAACGACTCGTTTTGAGCCGATTTTTAAAACGGCTAACTCAATAATTCACCTAGAAAAATATTATACAAGCCTGAAGATTTTGCTCCTAGAAGGAACAAAGGCACATACATATATTTTCGAAATCTCAAGGCTTAGGCTATATTTTTCTGGCTAAAATATTGAGTTAGCCGTTTTTAGAAATCGGCTCAAAACGAGCCGTTTAACAACACTAAAAGTGTCAAACAAAAATTCCCATTCAAATAAGGAAAATCGTATTTTTTTTATTTATTTTAGTTATTCCTTATTTTATTTCTAAATTTTTGCGATTTCTTTACGTTTTTTTTCATCATACATACAATATTCTTTTTATGATTTTTTCATTGTAATCTTTTACATACATTTTTAACCTTTTCAATTTCTTTAAGTCATTTTTAATCTTTTTTTTTTGAGCATTTTCAATTTTTTTCTTCTCATTTTTGATAATTATATTTTATGTATTTGGTAGATAATATAATATCAATTGCTAAATTGATCGTTTGGTTATAATGTACCTTTTAAAATTAAATAAGTTTGAACTGTAATACTAAACGATACGTAAAAATAAGTATATTGCAAAACATGTATGCCCATTGCATATGAATACTAAAAACTCCATATATCAAGTCAACTATTTGGAATGATCTGTTTTTAAGAAACTATAAAGATCTTCTTGACCTTATATTAGGTATAATTGCTAAAAAAAACTAAAGATAAATTAAGACTTTATACATCTTTTTAAATAGAAATATTGAACTTATACATTAAATAATAAATCAAAAATATTTAAAATATAAAGTAAGATTAACGTATTATTTCGATTTACGCATGTTTAAGCTATAATTACATTATTTTTTAATACCTAATAACAGATTTTTACATTAATGATGATATAATCAGTTTTACACTGACGATTTTCTACTCAGTATATAATTTGCGGGTGTCAAATTTTGGTACAAGAACTTAGAACAAACGATGCAATAGAACGGTTATAGAATTACTTCATAATATAAAAACTTTATTTATACTTTGGCAACTTAACCCAAAGCACATATACTACTGATAAATTACTTTCAGCCTTAAAAACATATTTATTAAATGTAATTGCTCTTCATCGTAATATAATTGCTTGATTTTAGTATATTTTTGATTGTTATGGAGTGATATTACTAATATATTATCAGTCTATGATGGCACAGGAGGAATCTGGGAATTGTTAAAGGGCTCGATTTGAGAAAATTTTTATAATCGGCTAATTCCTAAGCCTCGAGATTTGGCTAATAGATGTCTAAACATTTATGGTATCTGAGAGAAATCTTTATGCTTGCGTAATATATTTCAGGATAAAATACTTAAAAATCAGCTTGAATTGAGCCGCTTAAAATTAAATCTGGGGGTGGTGTCCCCATCCATATTAACAAGGTTCATTAAAGATCAAACATGTTAATATTTTTTAAATATTAGGCCCAATCTAACCCGTATTTCTTTATAAATATTAATCCCATCCCCTAAAGCCCGATTGGGCTAGGAACCCTAACCCTATGGGGTCTTCAGATCTCAACCTAGATATTTTATATTATCTAAAAAAGTTGTAAAAGATGACCCAATGGCAGCGTATTTTAATAACTAAATTAAAATATATTAACTTTAATCGAATAAAAATAAGTGAAGATATTATAACATATATAACTATCTTGAGGGACATTATTGATCTTTGTATTATAATCAAACAATATAATGAAATAGTATTATTCGATTAATAAAAAATGATTATTGTACCTTCAATCTCATTTTTAATCCATTCTTTTCTTTTCTTTTCTATTATATTAATTTGTTTGGGATTATTGTTTTTATTTATATGTTCAAGTGAATGAAAATATAATTATATAACTAAATAAATTATTAATCATAAAAACCGATCATTTCTAACAAATATTATTAAACTAAACCATACCTGCCAAAAATTTCAATTTGTAAAATCTTTTTTTGTTCATGATATTTGAAAAAAGGTACTGTTCTAAATCAAAAAATTTGCATACCATATATTATAATAATTACATAAAAAAATTTTAAACATTAGAATTTATATTTTAAAAAATATTAAATTTTTTTCATTATATCTTATGGATGGGTGGTATCATGACCCCCTTAAACTCTTGCTCAAAGCTGCCGTCATCTTTTTTCAAGATATTGTGTATGTCGACGCCATCTTGTTTTTCATTGGAGACCTTGTCCACCGGAAGTGTCACAAAGGATGGAGGAGGGTACCAGTCACCTGCTTCTTCATTCAGCAAAAGTTTCTGCAAATAAAAAATACAAATATTGGTTTTCAATATATTCTACAATCCAGTTTATGAATTATTGAATTCAATTACAATTTTATCCCTCTTCTCGGTGTTTCTATAGCTGGCATAGGAAGGAAAGAAGAGATGGAAAGAGAACCAAGCGAGGGTGAGAATGAACAAAAGGATTCCAGCGGAAAGCACTATAGAAATCGGGATCTTTCTCAAACAATCTGTAATTCGTAAATACAATGAATTATGGAAATATTTTTTAAATTTTATTTTTATCATTTATTCCTTTTTTTCCATATTATTCATATTTATTATTCTTTGTAAGTAAAAGATAATATTTTTGAGAATAGAAATAGATCGCAATCAATCATTGGGCCTTTTACACCCCAAACTTTTTAATAACTGCAAAAGAAAATTAAACGTGTTGTCTGCCAAACCATTTAAAAAAACTATATTGATTTCGTGACCTTTACTTTTAAATAACTTTAAACATCACTAATATTGGTATATAACTATATACAAACACCTAAATCTAATAGGCCACTTTAAGAATCAAAAATTTTAATCCCGGCCCGGCCCGAATATTAAAAAAAAATTTTTTTAGGCCAGGCTCGGAATTTTTAAAAATTATATTCGACCTGGTAAATTCAAAAAATTCATTATTTCGTATTTTATCATATTTTTCGGCGAGTATTATCACTTAATAAGCAAGTATATTAGCTAATATTGTTAAAAGGCTCGTTTTGAGCCGATTTTTAAAAACGGCTAACTCAATATTTTCGCCAGAAAAATATTGACTAAGCCTCGAAATTTCGATACTATGTCTAGACCTTTGCTCCATGAGCAAAATTTTCAGGCTTGCATAATATTTTTCTGGATAAAATACTGAGTTAGCCGTTTTTAAAAATTGGCTCAAAACGAGCCGTTTTACAACACTAAATATATTTTTTTTATATTCTAAACAGATATTTAGTATATTACAAATTGATACTATAAAAAATTTGTGTAAATAAAATTTTGAGAATATACTATGTATTTATAAAAAAAATAAAAATGATATTTTTAATAATAATTGACGAATATAATAATTCATGTTGTATAAATTTTTTAAAAAAATACGGCCCAGCCCGGGTTTTTTTAAAAAAAAATTTTTCAGGCCCGGCCTGGGTATATTTTAAAAAATTTAAAATACGGCCCGGCCCTGGTACCTCTGATAAATATATTATTCGCATCATATACATTAGATTTACTAATAAAAAGTATAAATCGCATGTGCATAAATAGCTGGAAGGAAGGAATATACTTTATGATATTTATATCAGTTCAAGGTCGTAAAGTAATTATCTAAACTAAAAATTAATCTTTTAAAGATTATTTTATTATATACTTTTATGCAATACCCATGATACTTGCCCTTAATATGAGTTTCTGTTCGAAAAAAAGGACAAACCCAGTATATTTAAAACAAATCGGATATTAAAGCATGTATGATTTTAGGAGATCTACGTGGAGTAAGTATTTGGAAAAGGCATTAAATGAGAAATGGTCATTTTTCTTTAAAATTTGATAAGTATATGATTTTTCAACTGGTTAATCGATATATAATAATTAGTAGAGCTGTAACAATATTAAATTACTGATCGGGACCAAAATTTAGGATTTAGAAAAGATCGTATAGGGCCAAATTCTGATAAAACTGATCCGATATTTGTTTTTTAGTAGGGATGTACCGATATTTCATCTTTTTCAAAATATCGATTATCGGCCATTATTATAAAATTTTCCGATCCGATAAAATAGCGTCTTAATTTTTAAAAAATTTATTTTAAATTTCATAATATATTTGTTATTTATTATGTAAATATTTTAATGTTATTATATAAAATAAGTGATTTATACTTTTAGATCATGAATATAAACTATAACTGATTATTAAAATATATTTAAATGACTTATGTTATGATATAGTTAAATTATAGATGTTATACTATTAAAAAGTATATGAGATGAGTAGTTATATTAGTGATGAAAATCGCTCCATGTGAGCCGATTTTTAAAAGCGATTAACTCAATATTTTGGCCAAAAAATATTGCCTAAGCCTAGAAATTTCGCCAATAGATGTCCATATATTTGTACAATCTATGAGCAAAATCTTTAGGCATGGATAATATTTTTCTGAACAAAATGGTGAGTTAGCCATTTTTAAAAATCCACACAATTGTAATGATTTTCCATATATTAAAAATTAAAATGATCAGTATGTTTCCTGAATACAAAATCAGATATGATATCGGATCGGTAATAGACCGATATCAATTTAATATCGGATCCTTCTTCAAAAAATGGCAACGGTAGACCCCTAGTTTTTAGTTATTCTTGTATAAATATATAATTTTTTATTTTATACATATAAATAATAATAAATTAATAAAAGGAACCAAAATTAAATTTATTTGTAATGTTTAAAAAATTGATTTATTTTAAAAGAGAGCTAAAAATTTATTATTTATTATATAATCTGTAACACGAAAAGGATTTTAAAATTCTAACAAGTCATATTAAATTCAGCCATAAACATTGCCCATATTATAATCTAAATATGGGATTGTGGTCGGATCAGTTGTGTAGTAATATCAGACAGGTGAAAAATTTGTGGATCAGCACAGCCCTGGTTTTAAATCACTAAATTAGCAGTTATTTTTGTAGTAAATCTTGAATAAAATATATTTTATCCTCTTAGAAAATCGGCCTAGACCAGGTAGTTAATATTTTTAGGCGCAGTTGTGTAATTAATATCTTTTAGGTCTTGTCATACAATTTATTTTTAAGCATGGTATAAAGTTATTAAAACAATGGGATATTAAAAATAATTCATATTGTCATTTACCAAAAAATGTTAAATAAATATTTTTTTAAAAAACTTTTTACGATCTTTTTATTTATATTAAAATTATAATTAACATATAAATATATAATTAAAATAAATAAATAATTTAAAATAATATATTTAGGTATGGTTGGCAGTGCTTAATGACCCATGTATAGATATACAGCTGGATCGACAAATTTCTATTGATATTCTTTGTCGTAGGTAAAAGTCTTCTTTTGGATCACCTGTGATTAACCTATTGTTTTGAATAATTTTAGGGCTTGGGTTCCAAATGATCCACAGGTGTCTGAGACTACTGGAACAAACAAAACATTATTAAGGTGGCCCGGCCCTATTTATTTGTTTCTGTATTTTCAATTTTCGTGATGAAGGTGACAAAAACGATCTACACAAGTATACTCCCAAGCGAGGGGTATATCTTGGTTCCAAGAAACTATGGTCATTCTATCAGGTCTGGTTTGACTATCAGGGCAGAGGGTTCAAGAGTATGAGGAATATTTGTGGATTTCAAGATTCTATGATGATCGAATTGATGGCTTAGTGCCTTGGTAATCTGCCATTAGAAAAAAGACAGTATAAAGGGTGGTGTCCAAGGCTATCGATATGAGTTTTAGGCGTTACGATTTCATAGCCTAAATGAAAACGTATAGCTATTCTAAGTTTTTCGTTGGTTAGTAACAAGCCTAAATTAGCACTAAGTATAGTTTCTAACTAATCATAACCAAGGTGGCACATGGCTGAGATTAAAATTATTTGATCCAGCAAAAGAGTCGTATTATTGTCATTCTGTATAATCGGAGTTGAGTTTAGGTGGAGAAATTGCGATGGAGATTTTCTTTGAACATCTTTGAAGTGTAAGTATTCGATGCAATGCTGTATCAATGGTAAATTCCAGTCTCTTTATCTTATAGAATTTGGATATGAGCGGCTTGGAGCATTTTTCTCCAGAGGTCTAATGTCGCCGTATGATGTGGATCGATACTATCCAAGTCTCCAAATGTGTATCGAAATTTAGCAACTGAGAATATAAAGGCTATAATGAAAATGTTTAAGGATATGGGGAATGGATACCTATACTACCTAGCTTTGTGGAAGGGCAGCTTGAATCTATGAGAGTGACGAGAATTTGATATTTAAAATAGATTCGAGATTTTTTAAATGAACTTCAAAGTCTAATAATATTTCAGGGGCATGAAAATTGTTGAACGAAAGGCATGTAAAATTTTAGGAATGAATAAAAAAATTTTAAGTAAATAAAAAGCTTGATGTAAATGTTTTAAAATATTTTTCATTCTATTGAATTTGGCAAGAAATTCATCTCTGAAAAGAAATAGAGCACTTTTACCTTAAATAAGTGAACCTAAGTGGGTAAAGCTAGTTTTATCCACTACAATAATATTTTCGGTGGGCAGTCCGATTCAAGGGGGAATAAAATTCACACTTATTAGGATTTAGTGATAGTCCCGTTATGGGGGCTAAGTGATTTATAATTGTAGGAATTTTTATGATTGACGTCATCGAGGTACCAAACGTTTAATTTAAGGTCACAATTTGAAGAGTTCTTTTATGATTAATTAAATGCCCTGATAGAATAATGCTGGACCTAAAGGATCTCTTTGTTAAATGTCTTGTTTAGAGAGAATGATTGAATCATTAAATTTTAAAAAAGTGGATTGGTTGTAACATGCTGCAATGTATGTTGAATACTCTGGAAATATTTCACAGAAATAGGGTATAAAATGCTCCCTACTAAGTAAATTGAAGGCATTATGTAGATCTATTTTAAGGATGCATTGATCATGTGTATTGTGGAGGATTATACGCGTCGAGTATGATGCCTCACATCCTCCAGGAACATTAAAACCTAGCTGGTTGGGTTGTAGTAGGTTGGATTTTATATGGGCGAAAATTATTTTAATAATTATTCACCAGAGTGCTGACCCTACTGCAATAGGTCTGATGTTCCCATTTGTTTTTTTAAGGTTATTACCAAAAATGATGGACTGAATGGTGTTAGGAATATTCTTATAAAAAATATGGTTGAGCAATATAGTAAACTGTGTAAGTGTATTTTAATATGGGTAAAGTTGGTTTAATTATATCTTGTAGATATATGGCTCGAAAGTCATCAATGCCTCCAGAAGAATCTTTTTTGAATGACATTGCATCCAAGATTTCTAACTCAGAATGGGATTAATGGACGGTGGAGTGGAAGGATGATTTGGGAAAAATATTGAGGATGTTTAGATTGTATAACCATGAGAGTTTTTTCATCATTGGGGGCCATAGTATCACTGGAATAAGCTATGTTAATAGCTGAATTTACATTGCATAAATTGATTTTATTTTCAATAAGCTTAGCCTTATTTTTGTCAAAAGCTTATTGAAAGAATGTATAGGTTGTTTGGGTATATCAAAATAGCTAGTTTAATTTGAATTTAATGTTTTTTTTGATGTTTTGTGTTATATTTGATTTTGATGTTGGGAGGTGTAAATTTAAATATATAAATGATACAAGTTTAATCGAAATATCTTAGCTTTTGATATTATTAAGGAACTTAAAATAGCTAATAGTTTTTGTGAAAATAGGATTCGAGTACCTATTGGAATGCGAGATATTGTGGGTGGGAGAATTTCCTTCATAAATTTATCTAATCATTCTTGTGGCTGAACAATAGAGGTTGAATTAATATTATTATTTGGGCTTATAGATATAAATGTAGGAATTGTTTCTGTATTGAAGGTATTGTTGTAACTTGAAATTGGTTTTATATTGATGTTATTAATAAGGGCTGGACAATAAGATGGGGGTAAGGTAATTATTGTTATAGAAAGTCCCTGATGAAGGACACACGTTTACCATGACAAATAATTTTATTCCCTTTTTTTAGGATACATTGTTGTTTGAAATTTATATTATTTTTATAAATGATTATGTTATAGCTTACTTTGAATTGAAAGATTCTAGATTTACAAAACAAAACTTATCTAAACTTCAATTTGGGTCAGCTAAGTGGATAACTAACAGAATTATTATATATAGGTGAAACATACGTAAAAAAGCTTTTCAAGCAAAAATAAAAAAACTTTCAATTAAAAATTAAATTCCATTATAGGAATTAAAAAACCTTTAAGTGAAAAAGATAAAAAAACATCAGGTCAAACAAAAGTGATATGATTTAATGAAGTCAGGATAAGAATTTTAGAATTAAGCTAATATATTTCTCAAACTCGATTGAGAGTATGGATTATATTCGAGCTCTAGAAGATAAGTATAGACAATTCAAAGCATGTGCAGCTCTCTAGCCAAGAAAGTAAATCATAAGAAAACAGGGGAAGAATGGATATATAGTGTCATTTGAGGGATGGTAGAGGGGATTTTTGAGGGAAAACCTAAATGATTGGCATATGTACGATCCCGAAAAGTTTATGATGGAATTCGAAGTAATCAGATATAAAGACAAACCAGATTGGGCGATCCCAAACAACTTTTGTTTTTTCTTATATATTTTGTTAAAATATATTCTATGCATTGTTTCGTTTTTCTTTACTTATAATATACTGAAATCTTTTACAATATCCAGTCTTTTTTTATATTTTGTATAATAATTCATCCTCTATATTCTCACCTTTTCATCTTATAATTCAGTATCTCCTAGCTTTCAATGTCGTTAAATTTGTGTAAAATTAAATTAGTTCTTCCTATTCCTTCTTACTTCACTTCTTTTTAAAATATTTATAAAGTTTAAATTGCAATTTATATACCCCTTGATCCACTGTCTTATACCCTATCTTTGTTATTCTATCGATTATGTAAAGTTTAATTCTTTCTTATTGTTCAAATCATTTTCTCCATTTTTTAACAAAAAATAATTCTTTCTTATTATTTAGATTATGTGTTCCATTCTTTAAAAAAAATCTATTATTCAATTATCTTCTTAGTTTAAAATTTATTTGGTCTTTTCTATTCTCTCACCCTTATTCCTTTTCACATTTCTATTATTCAATTCCCCCTTTATTGATTGTTTAAGTTTAATTTTTTTATTACTCATAACGTTGTGGAAATATTCTTTTAGGTGACGGGTGTTTCTGTGGGTGGTGTGGTCCACGATTATATTGTCTGCCGGATTTTGATCCAATCGATCTAATGCTTTAAGATTAGAAGCAAGATTGTAAAATAAAAAAATGAGAGAAAATTTTTATAAAAGAGAAAAGGAATAATAATTCAAAGTAGGGATGTACTGATACTTTTTTTGGAGGCTGATCGATTTGATATCACGTCTAATTATATTCTATATACAATTTAATTAACCAATCATCATAATTTATTCAGTTTATATTCATCAATATGTTAAGTATAAAATAAAATATTGTTAATACACAATTTATTTATATAGTAATTAACATATATACTGTGAAATTTTAAATTTTTCTAAAAAATTTTTGCATTAGTAAGGTGGATAATTATTTTTAAAATATCGAGAATAGTATAAAAAGCTCAATATTAAAACAAATTTAAATTTTAATGTTTCCTCCATAATTATCAATTAATGGTTATTAATATGAGATTTATATTCAAACTAATTTAGTTTTTAATTTAAAACTAATTATTTAACATCAGAAAAGTTAAAAAAGCCGATTTTTGAACCTTTAATTCCCATTATCTCAGATAATATAATTGTTAATAATTTCCAGATATTACTAGAACATATATAAAGTGCCTACAAATATTTATCGAAATTGAAAGGAGTCAGCCAAAAGATGCTTGATTTGACATGTAATGACCCTTTATTATTTAATAAAAACCTAAAATGTAAATTATATATAAAGTATAATTATCATGTTTTTTAGCATTCCATCCAAATATTTATTTATTTATCATATAATATACATTGAGCAGCTTATTGATATAATAATACTAATTAATTTGAAGATCTTCTCAACCCCTCCCTCTTCTAAAATATCCCATTCGATAAGATCAATTTCTAGGAAAATGAGAATTTATTGAGAATATAAATAATTTGTATTCCAATTTATGATTTTGTTTTATAGTTCGTAATCCGTTTTTTTTAAATTAAGAAATTATTTTATTTTATTTGACCACTTTTAAGTTCGTTGTGCTTAATTATACTTTTTTACCTGAACACTTTCAATGTACACACTTTTATAGCTCTTTTATTTCCTTTTTTTTTCATGAAAAATATCAAATACAAAAACTAATTTTTTTTAAAACAAAAACTACAAAACTGATTTTATTCTTTTTTTTTACCGAAAAAATCATAACAAAAATAATAATATTATAATTTTTTCTAAAAAAATACTATTATATAAAAAAAATCGATAATCTTTTACAAACAAAACTATTATATAAAAAATCGATAATAAAAAAACATTAACATACTACTAAATGTTAACATTGAAAAAGAAAATATCTACATTCCTATACTTCTACCACAGATTGTTTTAGCTTTTAATTTTAATTTAAGCTCCATAATTGCCTGATATTATAACACATACCACTAAGAATATCTATTATACAGTTTTCATTTTAATTTTCATCTCTAATATCTTACATATCTTGATAAATGTTTTAAAATAAAATAGAACATCATTAGCATTATTGCTTTTATCCTATTATTATCAATTAGGTTTCATAATAAATACACTATAAAAATTGTGCTGTTATGCATTGGCTCAAAATGTTTGCGGTACAGGTATAACTTAAAAAATCCGCAACAGATTCCCCAATGTGATTTTTTGCGATAAAAATTTTGCTATAATATATATTCGTGAAAAAAAGTTAGCTGAATTGATATGGAACCACCAAAACGATTTATAGGAATTCTATAGTTGGCATCTTTATTTGAAAGGGATGTTCTGGTTCAATAATATATACTTATCTATTCCTTTCAAAAAACCTATCAAATACAAATTTTAAACAAGAGTAGATCTTCTGTAGGCCGGGAAAACGTAGTCAATTTCTAACAAATTCTAATGTCGTAATTCATTTTGCATAATAACATTAATTTTTTTTGATGGTTTTAATATGGGTAATGGTTAAAGTACCATATATCGTAAAGCTTAACTTAAAAACCTGATAAGATATCGGACTGATATTTTAAGAGTTCCTTAATAGGTAGTTATGAAAGTGTAGAAAATCAAAATTTGTACACAGGAAATAGGCAGCCACCATTAATGGACTAATTAAATTGTTTATTCATATTTTGTTATTTATAAAAATAAATTATGTATTTTATTTTAACAAATTTAAACATAATATCACTTAATATATTTTTTTAAATTTAAACTCCATTTTATCAGATCATGTCATTTATTAACATTGGCCGATAACCGAAATTTAAAAAAAAGAATTGGCCCAATTTGATACAAATTATCGGTGCATCCCAATGAAATGATAATATTGAAAACATGAAAGGAGACAAAAAAGAAAATATGAAATAAAAAAATAAAAATTTACCTTGGTAAAAATTTTTCCTATCATCAACGGGATGGCCCGATATTGGTTCCTTTTTAATGTAATTCGATTTTCCAAAAAGCCAATCAAAAAGGTCCACACTTCCTTCCTTATCCGTGTTTGGTTTAAGGCTTGTAACATCGCGAACACTCGCTAAGGGTGAGATATCAAAAGGAAAAAAAATGACATTTAAATGATGAAAACAGCAAATTGGTTACAGGTTAATAAGAATTAAAACCTCGCTGATGTTCTCACTCACAAACAGAATAGAAATGAATAAGATGATTTTAAAATTGTGATAATTAAAAATCACAAGCAATATATTGGTATTATTTAATTATTCAAAAATAAGAAGTTTTACTGCCTTTTCAGTTCCTAAACGATTCCTAACACCCAGAATGATAAAAAATACTTTTTTCAGATGAAGAAATAATAGTTTACCATTTTTATACCGAATTAAATATTCCTGTCCTAATAACCATTCAATTGGTTTGACTCTTATTATTTCACCTAAAAACATATTTTACAAAGGTAGTGTTTATATTTTTATTGTTCTGAGGCAATAATTTCATATTATATTATGTCCAATATTTAAAAGTTTGATATTAACTGTTCTGAGGCGATATTTTGTTATATATAAAAAAACACAATTTACCTTTTGAGTTTATTTTTCACTGTTAGACTAGATTATCCTTATTTTAATTTTAATTAATACAAAAGAATAAAAGTAATTTTTGTATTTTCCATTTTTACTAATAATATTTATTTTGCAAATTCGTTATAAAAATAAAATCACTACCAACCATTATAATTCTATTCTATCAATTCGAACCTTCCTCAATCAATACTACCCCACATCAAGCTAATCCCTAAAGATAGAGATGTTAGAGTAATTAAATTTTGAATGTTTCATTCCTATTCTCATTGATTGCTAAAAGTATATGGCTTATAAGATAGGATAAGAAGTATCGATGGCATTTTTTCAACCAACCCTACGCTACAAAACCTGGGATTCGAACTGTATTCGGAGAAGAAACCCGGGTTTTTAAAAAAATCTGAACCCGAACCGAACCTCATTTATAAAATTTTCAAAACCTCAAGCAAAATCATGGAATTTTTCTAAACCTGTGTTCAACCGGATTCAGTGTATTGTTTAAAAGATCATATATTAAGATATTTGTATAATTGTAAATATAAATATTAATAATTTGATTGGGATTTTATAATATTTTCAAATTTACAATTAAGTGAAGTGTTTAAATTTTAAACAATTAAATTCATTTACGCCATTTATTTTTAATTTATTCTAAAAAATTATTAATTAGAGGAAAATGAAGGTGAACAAGTCAAAGTAAAAATTAATATATTGGATATTGTTAACTTAAAGAATTCTCAAAATCTAACTTAAAAATTGTTAAACAAAGATGTAGGGCAGTTTTTGTAAAACATAAAAATCATTTAATAATTATATGTGCTAATCATTGTTCAGATTAATTTTTAGCATATATTAATGAGGTGCATATTATATATGAAATTAAATATATATATATATCTGTTTCTTAATTCTATGAAATCATTGCTATTTAAAAAATTTATTCTTTTTAACTCTTTTATTTGAGAGTTTAATAAATGATCCTCAATTCATCATTTTATTATATAGATTTAAGATCAAAGATAATCATATTTGAGAAGCATTTTACTCTTGACACAATAGAAAATAAATCAGTATGCACATATTGCATATTAAAAATGTCTGATAATCATTTGTCAAATTTAGGAAGACATCTGGAAAGAAATTATAAAAATGAATATCTAAATGTGTTATTTACAAAAAAACCACAAAATTATTATAGAAACCTTTTTTCAAAAAATCTATAAATATAAATTTAACATCTAATGATTTGATGAGTTCTATATTAGAACTTGTTACTGTAAATGGTCGGCCTCTATCAATTATTGAAGATTTGAGATTTCAAATAATCCTAAATCCACTTTAATCGGCTCAATTTAGTTATTAACAAAGAAAATGTATCCCAAACTATTAATAGAACAGCCCAATCCATTAGAGACAAAATATCAAGAGTAGTAGAAGAAAAACTAATAAGTTTAAAAGTTGATGCAGTTCAACGACTAGACAGGTCAATTCCATTATAATTGTGAGAACTCTTGGATTTGTAGAGCTGAAAGAAAGAAGTACAGGAGAATATACTAAAAATTTAACATTAATATTGAACAAATATACACAATTACTTCTGACAATGGTGCAAATAAGCTAGGAGCTTAAATTTAAAATTAAGATATCACACATGGCATTCAACCCATGATGTTAGTTAGAAAGGCTAATTTTACTCAAACCCAATTTTTTCAGAGCAATCTGATTATTTATTGACTGAAGATTAGAAACAAATAATAACGATTGTTGAAATTTTAAAACCACTAAAAATCGCATCCAATCTGAACAGTTAACACTGACAGATTTTTATGCAGAATGGTTGATGCTGCATTGAACTAGAAAAAAATTCATACCGTTTTTCTCAATTATTAAGAAGAGAGAAGAATGGTTTATAAAGAATGAAATTCTCTTAGCTGCAATATACCTGGACCCAAGATACAAGGTTAATTAAAAGCTTAGTAAATTAATTATTTTGGATTGCTATGGAATTGCCAACCAAAATTTAAATACAAACAGTATAAATCCTTAAATATTACAGGTATTAAGTGATGATGATAAGATTTGTGCGAAAAGGCATCTTGCCAATTTATGGAGTCGAATTATAGTTTAACAAAGCTGATTTTATCTGATGATATTAGTTCCGATGAAGTTATTGAACAAGAAGATGATCTAGAGAAATTGATATATTAAAGAAAGGCAGGAGAAAATACTTAAAAGAAGGCCAACGATTGCAAGAAAACTATTGGAACTATAATTATATAATTTAATATAAAATTATAAACCCAAGTGAAGCATAGCCAAGATTTAAAAGGTTTTTAAATTTTAGTCTTGCCCAAAAACTAGAACATGACCTTCACTAACATATACATACATAACCTACCACAAATAAAATTAATAGACATCCTTATATTATAATGAAAACGCTTCCTAATTACCATTTGTTATATTTTAATATTTTAAAGGTTACGTTATTTCTATCTAGAAAAGAACTTAGAGATGAAACCGCAAAAGATCCATAAGAAAAGTAAAAATATTAATAAATGGTACAAATATACAAAATCTTGCACCAGAATTATAAGCTTTTAGAACAAGGATAGATGAATTAGAAAATGATGACGGTATTTTTTTTGGAATGGTAGATTAATCATTCCATACTCACTACAAAAAAGAGTTTTACAGATATTGCATATGGGACATCCGGGTATTACATCAATGAAATCCATTACGAGACATTATATATGGTGGGAACAATTAGATAAAGATGTCGAAAAACTAGTTACAGCTGTAGTGAATGTCAAAAACATCGCAGATATACCAGGAGTTGCCGTATACCAGGGAAATCTGCCATCACAATCCTGGAAAAGGGAAGAAGAAAAAAAACGTACAAAACCGTATTAAAACATCCCGACCAATTACAAATAAGGGAAGAACCAGTTCGAACCAATAAAAACAAATGACATTTATAAAGTTAAGAGATGATAAAACAGTAGAAATTAATAGATGAACTTGAACTATATATAGAACAGAATTCAAAATAAAGTTACCGATTATTTTGACTATAAAACCATTGACTAATGAATTACCGTTTAAATACTTCTCTATAATTAACGAATTCCTAGATTAGAGATCTGCAAAGTAAAATTTTTTATAAAGCCAGGCTTGAAATTTTTTAATAACGATAACGGGTGGCCAGAAATTTATAAACAAATAAAACAAGTGGGCACAGGCCAGGCAATAAATTTAACAGCTGGGACTGAGTAATTCGTCCATAAAATGTTTTGGGCCAGGCAATTTATATATGAAAAACAAATTAGTTTAAATATTTTATTTGAGTTTCAAGCTAATATTTTGATGAATACTAATTGAAAATAAAAACTCAATCTAAAATATTAAATCTATAAACAATAGAGCAAATTCACAAATAATTGATTTATTAGATGTGACCGAAAAATTCATAAAAAAATTTAACAGGCCAGGGCAGACTTTTCGTAAAACACAGGCTGGGTAAATTTTTAATAACTATAACAGGGCATGACAAAAATTTTTTAACCAAAGCAGGCCAAGCCGGGCTTTGCAGATCTCTAGCCTAGACACACCCTTTACTAATGCATAAATTAATACTACTCCCTTATCAATGAATTAAAAGAGGCTCACAGTTCTTAGAGAACAAGGGCTTGAAGTAAAACATCTTTATAAATATGTGAGGTGGCTTTTCTGCGACACTGTCATCATCATTATGTAATTGCTTATCATTTATTTGTTCAAAGAAATCGTTAAATATTTGTTTGCTTTTCTCACCAACATTATTTTGTTTACCAGCCTTAATGGGCTTGAAATATATTTTTTTACTTTCGATGTCATTAATCATTTCATCCATAGGTGGATTATAAGAGAAATCAACCAAATTGCCATTTTCTTGTTTACTTTGGGCATTATCATTATCTTTTTGTTTAACTTCTAGTAAGTTATTTGTTTGTTTATTTTCTACATCATTATTTATTTGATTTATCGATTGGTGAATGAAAGGGAATTTAAAGAAATGGCTATATCTATTACTCATCTCTTTACCTTCAGCATCGTAATCATTATGTTTATCCTTCTCTTCGGCCTTATTTATTTGTCTACTTCCCTTCTTGGCTATGCTCGATGTAAATACGGGGTCTGAGGCTAAAAAACAAAATATTTTTGCAAATTAATTTTTCCTTTACATTTTTCTATTTATCTCATCTTTTGGTTTCTTTTTTAAAAAAATCTAATTCAGAAAAAACAATCTGCCTAAAAACGTAAATTTGAATATATTTCATTCATTCAACATTTTTACATCTTCAATTGTTTACCAAATTTTTTTTCATCCGAATTTCATTGCTATCCTCTAAAATTATTAAGTTTTTTTTCTTCCTAAAATTTTTTAACGTTTACATTTCATACATTAAATGCTGTTAAACGGCTCGATTTCGTCGATTTTAAATTAAGATTATAGCCAAAATAATATTACGCAAACCTCAAGATTTCGCTAATAGATGCCCAATTTATTATGTCATCTATGGGCAGAATATCCAGTGATTAATATTTTATGGCTATAATATTGGGTTAGTCGTTTTGAAAAATCGAACCGTTTAACAACACTAATACAGTCAATTATGATTTTTTTACCGAATATGTCTGAACCGGAAATAACTTTGTCAAATATGCGTCCCATGTTGAGAAAAATATCCAAACTCTATGTAAACGATTGATTTTCAGTTTGTAAAAAAGATAACAGAAAATAAGAATAAAAGAAATTAAAAAAATGAGCATATAATTAGAATTAGAGAGCTCGATATTTGTCTGTTGTTAATTAGTCGACTTCTTCCGACTACAAGTCGTAGTCGAGGAAATCGACTAAAAACTTTAGCAAATTAGTTGATCGACTAATTTCGTGGACTTGCTTATAATTTTATTTCCATTATATTTCTTATTTATTTTAATTTGTTTATTTTTATCGCCAGGCTGATACTAAATCTATAGAAAATTAGGTTTTTAAATAAAATAAATATATCTTTTATAATATAAAAGAATTATTTTTATAATAAACGATAACTAAATTATGCCAAAAAGATAGAAAATCTATTATAATAATCCTCAAAAAACGTCAATCAAATTTAACCAATAGCGTTCTTTTAAAAAATATCTGTCCAATGATAATCATCATAGCAATTTTAAGCCAATAGTAATTCCCATGAGATTTATAATATGGCGAATATACTCAAATGCATAACTATCATCATTCCAGAGGTATGTGATGCTATACGGAAAACTTTAAAAGATATCCAGTTCCAACTAGAGAACATTGTGAGAAGGTATTAAATTTAGATATTAATATATTTTTAGATTGCACAATAATATTTTGAGAAACATGGATTTCCAAACTGCCTTGGCTCATTAGATGGTAAGCACATAAAAATAAAGTCCTGCAAAATCTGGAACCCATTTTTACAATTATAGATCTTTTAAATCAATTGCATGGTTAGCTGATAGCAATTACATATTTATATATACAAAATTAAGTAATGGTCGCACTTTCAGAAATAGTTAATATCAAAGTAAATTTTTTATATTAATAAATAATTTTTAATTATTTTCGAGTTTGAAAATCAAACACTTTTTATTCCTCCTAAATCTATGCCAATTAATATCATTGTTCCATATGTAATTATATGAAAAATATCAGTCCTGAAGAAAAACTAGAATGTGTATTGAATGCACTGAATACACACCTAATATTATACTTATTCCTGAATATTTAGGAATCAGTAGAACATTAAATGCATCAAGTACCAATTCAAGAGGAATAAGAGATTTATTGAAATACTATTTTAATTCTTGAATTTATGTATAATTTAAAATTTTATACCATTATTATATTGGAGAATCAGAATTTTCTCCTTTATTTGATGACGAATCAGAAATTTTCCTATCTTATGAGGTGCTATTTAAAAATTTTGATTTATTTGGGGTTATTCTAAAATTTTCCATTATTTTTATATGTTAATCAAGTATATATTTAGTATTTTTAATTTATGTGAAAAATTAAAAAATCTTTTAAACTAAATTTTTATTCATTTATACTTGTAATTTATAATCTAAAAATTTATTCTTGCTAGATGAGAGTTTTGTGTTATCAAGGTGTGCTTTCCATTATTAAAAATTAAATATTTGAATTTTATACAACTATATATCTTTTAATTAGTGTTTATGCATAAGTAAATATTTGCATCTCTCCTTTTGGCCTTACATGCATTCTATTTGCATGAAAATTTGGCCTTTTTCCATAGTGTTGTATATTTTCTCATAATTCATAATTGTAGAATATATGTTATTCATAACTTATTATAACATTTTTGATTAAATGTATAACCTTTTTGTTTTGCTTATATATAATTTGACTATGATTGAAGTTAACCTCTTATTATTTGTTAACTTAGAATATCTTTTTATTTTTTCTATTGTAATTTAATTACAATGTCTTAAATTTTTTTTTTTTAAACTAAGTAATAAATTATTTGAAAGGGTGGTGGCTTGTTTAAAATTTAAAGTAGGATGAATATATTTTCAGCATGGTACTTTAATATATGTATTCATGATATTCCTATAAATACCAGGAGCTAACCAGTAGAATGATAGGTAAATCAGATATTTCCCCTTCATTTAATGATAATTTTGAAAAATTTTACAATAATATAAAATGGCAAAAAAATAAGTACATATTAGACAGATTTAATTCAGACTTATTTTTCTGGATCCAAGCAATATATATTATTCTGGTTTTCATGGGCTTGGGAAATATTTTTCACAATTAATATGGACTTGGACGTAGCTTGGGAAACATTTTTCAAAATTATTATAATCTTAGATTCCTGAAAACATTTTATTTTATATTATGGGCTAGAAATTCGCCTGAAAATTTCTTTTGAAGACATGGCCAGGGCTGATCAAAAACCAAGGCCCATGCAACTTTCAAATTCTGATTGTATTTTTAAATGCTTTGGGACTTTTTATATACTTTATTGTTCTCAACTACCAAATATATGGTCTTTTCAGGGTTTGAGAAAATTTTCCCAAGTGAGTAGACCTGGTTTAGGAATTTTTTTAATATTAGGTATGGGTGTAATATATAACACAGAATATTTATATGGCCCTCAGGTAAAGGCTAATTTAAATATATTTTTATTCAAAAAATAGTATTCCCTCTTATTAATGGGTTGGCCTTGGTCTGAAGTAGGGGTGATGAGTTATAATAGAATAAAAAATAGATATGGTTTTTAGAGATTTACATATCTCCTGGCTTGGGAAAAAATTTTGAAAATTTATGGGTTGGCCAGGCTTGGGAAAATTTTTATAGGTTGGGCTGGGTTTGAAAAATATTTTTATAAATTATATTAGGCTGGGCTTGGGGAAAATTATCAAAAATATTATGAGCTAGAATGATTGAGAATTTTTTTATTATTAACTGAGTCAGACATTGGCTTAAAAAAAAATTCATGCAGGCATGGGCTGGGCCTGATCAAAAAACCTAGGCCCATGAAAATCTGATTTTGATTGTATTTATAACATTATGATTATTTAAACATTTTATTTCAGTTCTCAACTACCAAAATTATTATATTCACTGGGCTTGGAAGAATTTTTCAAAATTATTATGGCTTTGTACTTTGCCTGGGAATTTTTTTAATATTAAATAGTAGGTATAAATGATCAGTAATATTTAACAAATAATATTGGTATTATAAAGTAAAAGCTTTAAATTTATTTTTGCTCAAACCATAGTATTTACACTTAGTTTTAATGGATTGAATCTGGCCTGAAGGGGGGATGGGGTAAAAAGAAAAATTAGACATTATTTTCAAATAAAAGGTAACAACTATCATAAAAGAAAGAAAAAAATTTTCATTCCCTGTCATTTTTGATGGGCTATCTACTAGTATTATAAAATATTTGTTCGAAAATATTGTTAATAATATAGGGGAAAAATAATAAAAATATATTTTAAAAAAAGAAGGAAAAAAGGAAAAATGTCATGTGTGTTGAACTAAGAGGGAAAAAGGATTGTTTCGAAGAAACACTTTCCCTTTTAGGATTTCAAATTGGATTTTTGTTTGAGGGATAAGGGACTCGTTTTTAACCCCAGTCCTTATCGAAATTTTTCTACCCAAGTAATTAAAATTTTAGGGATTGGGGAACGCGGTTTCCCCAAAACACTAAAAATTAGGGGAATAAAAATAAAGGAATTTAGAAGCGACCTATATTTGTTGCATTTTTTGACATCTGAGTTCCAAGAGGTCATGGCTTCAATTATCCGGAAATGTAGTGAGACATCTCAGACAGGTCTTTTGCCGCTGAGCCAAGAAGTTAAAGACATGCAATCGAGATGCTTGCCATCTCATTTAGAAGATCTAACAGTTCCAAGCTATTGGGTAAACTGGCCGAAATAAAAGATTTGCTGATCAATCTATTTAGTATGCCGAGAAAAACGGCCACTGACTTTGAGGCAAGAGAAACAATTTCTAGAAAATGTATCAACTTGCTTATTGCAGGTAGCACAGATGTTCACAGACGGGATAAGACAATTTAGCCTATGGCCAATGGCAATTTGAAACTCATCGTTTGTGAGTAACATTTCCCTTTTTCCACTCGGAATCGTGTCTAACCATTCATGGTCGATAAGGATTTTTTTGCATTTCTGAATAGTAGAAGGTTAGTTAGATCGGGACACAAACTAAGTTTTTCAAATGCACGTTGAGGCATGGGAACTAGAAAGCTCTTTAAATGAATGAAAACTGTGTGCTCGGATCCTCGGAGAGATTGTTTAGCTGAAGTTAAAAGGGGATAGTTCAACTAGATAAGCAAGGAAATAGAGTCGTTAAAGGATATCTGTGAAGAAAGAAAACAAGCAATTGCCATTAAAATGGAGGAAGAAAATCCAAATCCTGCCTGGTAATCAGGCATAGAGGCAGAAGACCTATTAAAATCAGAAATCTTTAGGACTAAAAGGTGTTATATTTGAATATCGCCAAAAGTTTACGTTATATATTTTAAAAGGAAGTTATTTGTATATTATATTATTATAACTTTCCGACATGTAATATTATATTATCGAGGTTAATCAAATTGCATATTATTGGAAGTTAAATTGGATAAAGTTGTTAACGCTCCTTTTTAAAAGTAGCGAGCTCCCGCTCCCGCTACTACATATTAAAAGGAGCGCTCCCGCTCCAACTAATGGAGTGCCGCTCCATAACCGCTCCTTTGATTTTCATTTTTTTAGAAGGTACACGAAACAAAATCATATTTTTTTATCAAAACGTTTTATTTATATTATATGATATATCAAAATATTTATAATCTTTTATTAGCTTTTAAAAGTAATAAATTTTCTAAATTAGAATCTAATAAACACCCACGCCTCTCCCTTAAGACCTGTTTTGCAATACTAAATAGGCGCTCCACAGGAGCACTAGAGGGAAGCGGGGTATTGTATTTTATATAAATTTTTTAATTCAGGAAATTGTTCAAAAATAGTAATTTTGCTATCATTATTTAAAAAATATCTATCCAATATATTATCTTTATGGTGATCAATTTCATGGAATCCAAAGAAATCTTCCAAATCATTGCAAGGTTCCCGTGAACTAGTAGTAGCTATTTTTCCGTCGGGTATTTGTTTCCTTAAAAAATTAAGTA